CTCTTGCGGACGTATCGATGCATCGGATCGTCCGATGTTGGATCGATGCATCGATACAAAATAATTATTATTTACACCCCTAATATCTACTATGACTTGACCATTTAAACAGGTTTTTTTTATTTTTTTTTATTGCACTTGTAAATGTATTAATAGTTGGTTCTACTGATGAAAGAGCCAGATTGTGTGGGTGTAAAAATCCTACAAGATCAGTGTCCTCAATCCAACTATAGCTAACAGTTGGATCAAGAATTGGATGCATTGTCGATACTGATAAATTTGACATTAATCTAACAATCTCCAGTTTGTGCTGTCAATATTCTTGGGCCAATATTTGGAGATATTTTTGATATTGCTTTTCCTTTCTCCATTTACACAATATGAAATACAAAATGATGCAAAATGTTACACAACTCTATAGAAAATAAATACACAACAAAGCAGTAACAGTGGTTAGCAAATGGAGGAGAAAGGCAATGCGAGTGATTCACGTGAGCTAAAGGTATGGATTCTAAATGCACTAAGGAATCTGTCAATCAGCTGGTACTGATAGAACAGAAAAAAGTTTGATATCGGGTAAGTTCAGCCCTAGGACAAACCAAATGAATGCATGGTGAAATTTCCATTTCTAAAATGAATAGGTGTCATTTCTGAGGTACGTGAACAATGTGCTGCGTTCCAGCTTAGTGCTGGTGTTGTTTCTAACACTGTTTTAGAAACATCCACTCTACATTTGTCCGAAATTCATAAGCCTTATCAGTTTATGTTTTATGAACTGGCGTATTTTCACAGTCCAGTTTATGTCAAGCTGGATCTCATCATACATAGATGGACTAAGGATGGACTTTAATTGTTCTTGAACGTGTAACTTTCCTCTTTATTCGAGATAGACTTACTCCTGCTTAGACATCAGATAAAATAAAATAATGAAAGACATGGTATAAAATGTAGTTATGATGCAACCCACCGGAATCAGGACCTGTATACTCCCCCTGGCTTTACCGCTCTGTCCATCAAGGTGGCAAAATGTTCTTCACCTCTGCACA